TAAATTCCGACATCATTCTTTAAGAAAATGTTATCGACTTTTTCTAAGTTTGCTTGTACATCCTTCAACCGTCTTTCGATGAGAGTTGGGAAATATAATCCGTTTACGTTTCAATTACATTAGTGCCATTGTTTGGTAATACGTTACCTACGAAGTAAGTATCTATTATTGGTGCGGCAAATGAAGTCATGCCATTTCCTTCACAGAACATCTAAAGCTACTGCTCTAACTACAAATATTTATATGGTTTATGTAGTGTTCACATACTATGGGTGCAAATTAATTCAACCGTTCTTTTCAATGTTCACAGTAATAATAGTTTATTCACAAACAAAACGTCTATGTGAGCAAAGCTTTGAACTCGATAAAATTAGTGCTAAAATTGATTTTTTTTTACGGTTAGGTCGAGTAGGAAACAATATTGAAGTATGTAATATTCATAGTTAGGACGATCAATAGAAATTGACCAATAGAACTAGACTTACAGATGATTCTCTTAGGATATTGGATGAATAAACTAGTTCCATCGTGGGTCGCTCATCATGAGTGACTAAAATTTATTAACAGCTACAGATGTTTCTCCTATTACTTAACGTCACCATACCGAACCCAAAATGTCCGCGAATCATGGATCCTCATCTTATATCATTTCATAGAAACGTATCTGGCCATATCGCAGTGGCGCCAAACACTTTGCTTCATAATCCTCCTACTTTTCACTGCCAGACGACTGGCACAGCAGTTACTTATAGGCTACTAACAAGAAGTAACAAATGGTATGATAAAACTGAGGTTTCTAACTAAAAAGTTGCACATATAATTTTTTATACTTAATGGTTCTTTGTCTTATATTATTTAAGCAGTGTTCATCGTAAAAAAATTCACAAAGTATCATAAACCGGAAAATGCACATCTCAGTTTTCTTTCCTTATTCCTATTAAGAATGTGTTAATTTCGTAGGCCAACCTTACAGACTGCGAGGGTTGTCTTGAAACAGATTACGTCTCTGGCCTTTATTTTTCGAGTGATTATTTGTTCTGTCCCCACAAGTTCATAGCCACCTCCTCCGAACTTTTTATACATCGTACATCCAGCTAGTAAGTTAATTATCAAGGAGTAAGTTTATATGACAGCAAGAGAGAACGAAGAATAATGGACCGAAAATGTAGTCAAACTTAAGTGCTGTTGAGTTTATTCCGATTGATTGCACTGAACTACCCATAAGATAGATAGGTGGAATGATACAGTCAAATTCTCAATGTTGGTGTTCTGTTTACAACTGCTGCTCAAGAAGACGCTATGGTGCTGAAGTCACTTTGTTGTATTATCTGAAGAAAATTTTTCACGGGGATTCTCTGATAGCTTCAAGAAACAATCATTCAAAAAGATAGGCTCTGAGTGGTTCGTAAGGGGCAACGGTCTAACAGGATCCATGAGTGTGTCTCACGTAAAATATCTTGATGTTTCGACCTAGAGGAGGTCGTTCTTTGAACGCTTTGGGCCATGTAAAGAGCAACATTATTATCCACAGTCTCAGACACGTCAAATCAAAACATATAGGGGGCATCCAGGAGAAATTCACCTCTACTGAGGCCTTCAGTGGGCCAAGACCCCATAAAGCCATATTACCGCAATATTAGTGTTTTAGTACCTTCCTTAGTTCGGGGATTTTCTGTCTTACGTTTCTTAGACTATGGTTTAGCCAAAAATAAGAAAAAAGCAGACAGTAGATCATCGCTGATTTAGGGTGAATAATGTTTAATGTTGTCAACTAGTAGGCTTTCACACTAGCCTATAAATGTTTTCGGTAACAGTCATCTTCAGTTGAAGGGTCTTAGTTACAGCACTCACTCTTAGTTCTTCAGAAACAGTTGAACAAAGGTCCAAGTTGAGCTCCTTTCTACTTAGATGTCAACTGACTTGCCCTAATACAAGTGGTGTAGCTTGCTGCAATCTGTTTAAGCTGCCTGACGGGCCAAGGACAACTGCTTCGGATACTGATTTCCTTTGGGAAATAGTGAGACTTGTTACTGCCAGGATCCAAGAGCCGGTGTTACCACATTAAGTAAAACTGCTGTTACTCTGAATAACCTAAGAAGAAGTGGCGAATTAAGGTGAGGAAGTCTGAAGAGCCTTGTAGCACTGCAAGAGTGCAAACCGGCCATTTTGAGCCTATTTGATGCAAATTATCCATGGTCTGTATTACAGACCACAATTGGTCCGTCTGTTAGTTTTTTAGTTAACAGATCACGGAGTAAATATGGAACAATATATATGAAAGCCCTAATATCCAAGATGTAAATATCTGACCAACCAAAGTCTGTTAAGTATAAGTCGGACATTGGAAATTTCCTTATGGGATGTTCGTAAGACCACCTACGTGCTGGCATTGGCTGTTGGATACTAATCAATCTGTCCTATAAGGGTTTAAAAAACTCTTTAAAAGATGGATAACCGGGGGCCGGGTTCTTTATTATAGGCCGGCTCAGTTAGTTTCTACTAACTTATACACCATTCGCGACTGCAAACGTTCAGTGTATCGCTCGTTGTTGAGACAAACGAATTTCTTTCTGTGACGCTGTTTTAAAGTTTACGCTGAAGTCGGGTGAAATTACTGGCTAGAATAGTTACTCTCAGTAGGTGATGACATAATTTGATAATAACAAGTTGTAAAAGTACGAGGCCAAACCAGTGACTCATGCACCTCTCCATGAAACGCCTTTCATGAGTCCTCATTGGCTGTTCTTGACTTCGACAAGGCACGGTCAATTATTCAACACAGGTAGAACTGATTTCTGGATGGTTTTTCAGTGAAATTTCACTGGCTTACTATCCCCCGTCACGTAAGTTGTTGTATATTGGCCCCATGATAAACCGTCGGGCCGTAACGATTTTTCGCTGATGAACTGAGAGGCAAAAAAATCACCTCAACAAAAAACATTTGGATGATAACTGCCTTTGTATTTAATAGTAGGAGATACCTCTTGAGAACAGAACTTGCAGTCAGAATGAAAAACTGATATAAAGCAGTTCAGAATGATACTGAATAAGTAAACATAGTGTGTAGGAAATAATTAGGATCCATATGAGGTCTTTCTTCCATTGAAAATCATGCGAAGCCTCTTAGGCTAGAACAAAGTAAATAAGCTATTTGAATAGAAAAGAGCTAACAATACTCACCTGTTAGAGACATCTGGAACATAGGCATTTCATATCACGGGTCAGGGGTTGGCGGAAGAAAAACTGGAACTGGAAGCTAAGCAGCTCCGTGACCACTATCTGGTTCGGTTGGACTTTAGGCAGACACTCAAAAATTAGTCAAACCTGATGAACCTGTATGGTGCTCAGTGAGAATGTCTTACTCCTTAAGAAGTTATTTGTTGCCTTGGTAGAGTAAGTGACTGATGGAAAACTCCCAATTGCTTGTATGTAGAAATATTCAGGAATTCTCAACCGGTTGAGGTAATCCAGGTGGCTTAAAACAAGTCCTTCGGGAAGAATCTTAATACATGCTTTAGGGCTCTGATACAGTGCAGCTAACATCGATTTTTTCTGGATCGCAAAGTCCCCGTAGAAGGAGTAAAAGTGCGTCAGTCCACTGCGATGCTCTCGCAGCTAAAAGCAAGGCTTAGAACTGTCGGCAGAATCGTTCCAGCAAATCATTGTCCTGCGGATGCTAGGTGATAGCTCAAAATCGTTTCATTACTAAAAGTGTAGTAGGACAGCGGAAAAGTCCAAATTTGAGTTGGTGTCCACAGTCTGAAGTAATAGCTGAATGGTAGTGGAAGCTCGCTGCCCATCATTCGACGAAGGCGTGGGCCAATATTGTGACAGTGATATATTACTAGATACTACTTCTTGCTATAGTATGAAGCGGTTCATAGACGTCAGGAGGCAATAGTGCTAGCTCGAGCCCGCTGATAGTCCTAACAGGTCATGATGGACGTGGCTGAAACGAGCGTTGGAAGTTCAGGAGCTACGAAAGGTATTTTTCTTATACCTAATTACCCCAAACGTTTGATGACTTACGCAGTCGCGTGCCCATTCTAGCACGTCTTTGTTCAAAGCAGACCAGCGAAATGGTTTTGCTATCGGCTTGATGGTCTCTAGAACATTTGGATGAAAGAGACTATGCAACGTATCAAACACGTTGCGTCCATGATGGTTCGGCACGATTGGACGATTCCTGTGTAACAAAGTAAAGTTCCCCATCTATTTCCACCTGTTTGATTTTTAGTTTCACGGTTGTCGGTAGTTACTCGGGCATCAGACCAATGTCTTTCTTTCGAAGCTGAGTGAGTCTAAAAAGGTCGATCCCTTGGAAACACAGCGTCTACAACTACACTGTTTGTCCCAGAAATATAGTATACATCCGAACTAAACTGTAAGATATAGTCTATTTGTAGGGATGTTAGTAGAGAGTACTTGTCTGAAGAAGAACTAAGAGGAAAAGTTAAAGAATAATGGTGAGTGAAAAGAGTGATTTCTCGTCCTTCAAATGAGGGTTCAAAGTGTCGTCCGGCAAAGTTCATGGCCGAGATTGTCTTGCTAAATGCGATATATCTAGTTTTGAAGAGAATGCTAAAGATTGCCAGGTGTTGTTTATGGATTGTTGTAAGACTCTTTCGGCTGACTAGTCAGACTCGTTTACTGTTATATTGACAGGTGCTTCGGTGTCCTAGTGAGCTAACATGGTTGACTTAGAACTTCGTACTTTCATTGTGGAAAATGCTTTCCTCGCAGTATACGGATGCTTGGATGAGGTGTTTCCAGGAGAACTATGTATTTTAGGAATTTATTTATCACTACATCACTAACATGTAATTTCTGCTTATTAGATATGCCTAGATTCCTACCTGGAGGTGTCGGTTATTCACTGCTACTTGATACGGAAGCGCTTTAAGCAAGAGCTTCTCATATCTTGTCCGAAACCATCTGAGCAATCTAGATAGTCTGATTTAAACTTCCGCCGGTGTTTGTTTCACACGACCTTGAAGTATTATGGATATTTTTTAGTGAGTCACTATAGTGAATAAAGTTTATTTTGACCAACATTCACTCTCATGGTTTTTATATGCCATGCATATGATGTTAAGATGTGCTGCGATACGGTACATCAAATCGGTCGCTAGGCGTTGCAGCTCATTTACCAACCAGGTGCTGAAGGTCCTGTAAGTTCATAATCTGTATAATTAACTCAGGGAATCTACTATTTAACGTAACTAATACTTAGATTCTATGTTTCAGATACTCAATAAATGAATGGAAATTGCTACCCTTTCAAATGGTTTCTGGACGTCATGTTGGTTAATTTGTGTGTTTAGTTAAGCATAATTTTCAGGGTTGTGAAATGGTAGGCGAGTCAGGTTATCAACTAAGAAACTTGCCAAACAACCGCTGTAAGCGTAACATAGAGGTCGAGTGTAATCCCAATACCTGTGTCCATCAAGCTAAGCGTGCCCGGCGTTCTGATTCAACCTCATCACATAAAGAAAACAATGGCCTATGCAGAGAACCAAAGAACACGTTTCCATCTAGATCTAAAGTACTTCCATTGAGGAGCATTCAATCGATAAATACCACTAATGAATCTCCAAGCGTCTCATCAACACTTGTTCGGAGACTTAAGGTTCCTGGGAACCTTAGTGAAACCACTACCCGGTTGACGCGTTCATGCAGTGTGAAAACAAGTCCAGTTGTCGCCCAAAAGCGTATCTTGCGAAGCAGCCACCGATGCAGCATTCAAACTATTCCGAATGCAGTATTACAGGTTAGGCTGGAACGTTTCTCTTTTCAATCTTCTTCCGGTACACAGTCTGACGCATTAGTCGCCTCGTGTAATGGCAGCTTAACAAATGGATCAAAAACAGAAACAAAAGCTTCAAACGAGTTTTTATCCTCTTGGTTCTCCCCTAGAAGGTTTAGTTCAAGTGAAAAAGATCAGGCAGCCAAACTGAAGCGACTCAACAGAAGGCGCATGGAGTTTGATGTTCAAGAATTAAGCCAGTCTTTTGACTGCGATCTTTCTCATGCATCTTCCGACTCGTTACTTGTAAGTAAGAGCTTTATGTAATGTAAAATTTCCCTTATCTCTATGTTTAGTGAGTGGTCGGTATAATAGATAACATATTATATTGGTTTACACTTAGTTTTTTTTCAAGATTCATATTGGCCACTCTTCCCACGATAAGTTTAGGAGTCTGTTTCATTCTGCATTTTGACATTGTACTAACTTTATGTAACAATATTTCTACACTGCATTTATAATTTTAGTAGAGTAAAATTCTCTTCAGGTAAACAGTACCTAACTACTCTTCCGTAATGATTTTTAATTTTTTAGAATCAATCTGTAGTAGGTGATCCACTTGAAAAATTACTGCGATTATGTGGCCAAACTGAAATCAAGTCATTCGATGAATATTTTGACCACACGTATAATGCTCACTTATAAGTTTATAATTTCGTCCATAGATTAGTAGAAAGTATGGTGAAAATTGGCGAGGGTGTATATGGTGAAGTATTTCAGTCACCAAAAGGCAATGTAGTCAAGATCTTTCCTGTGGATGGAGAAGATCTTGTTAATGGTGAAAAGCAAATGAAGTTTGCAGAAGTTTATCCTGAAGTGTTCGTATCGCAGTAAGTATAAGGTGTTTTTTAATCATCATTAGGAAGTTAAGCGAGCTTGCATATAAGTATCGGCGTAACCGGTCAGTCAATTTCGCCCAACTAAAAAGGTATGTATTGCTGCATTTTCATCTCACTTCATTTTCAGAGCAACTGTTGTTCGAGGAAAACTACCTAAGGCTTTAGTTTCAAGTTGGAGAAAATATGAAAGTCAACGGGGTTCAGATAACGAATGTCTTGACTTCTTGCCTGCTGAACAACAATGGATGGTTTTAGAATCTGAATTTGCCGGAGAGCCACTTGCCAATGTACGAGTAAGTACTACTTCTACACAGAACTAAATTGGGAGGTTGTCTAATTACTATAATTAATATGTCAACTACACACCAAGTCATTTTATAACGCATTTTCCTCATCTGCCGGTTATACTATTCCTCTCTAAATCCAACGAGATTATTTTGGTTGTAACCACCAAGACGCAAAGTGTTGGCTTATGGATTCATAGTATGGGCTTTTATTTTGAGTAATCTACCCAAGGAGAGGAGTTACAAGCTACGGTATATCTAATCTGCTGACCAGAAAAGGCGCATATGATACTTCGAATAATGGGTAGTGTTTTAGGTTTCACTAATATTTAGTATCCACCTAGTCTTACCACAAATTTTTACCTTACCAAAGCATCGCTGATCATTAATTCAAACTGCTAGTCGTAGAAAATGGGTTGCCAACGGGAAATCTCCAACCTAATCTGTCCTCGTTTCTCCTTTCCAGTTGTTCCGATATTGATATTTGCCCCTCAATGTATTCTTTCATCTACCATTTTCATTTCGCCTTAAACATCTCAAACTAAGGCCTGCGTTTCGATGCGGTTTAATATTGGTGTGACCTATCCGCTGACATTTCTTAGTTCCATTTTTAGCTGGAATCTGATTTGTTCTCTACCAGAGTAGGCTATTGCTAATGGTTTCTGGCCAACAGATCTGGAGCATCTTGCATAAAAAGTGTTTGTAGATACCTGTACTCTTTTGATGATAGAAGTTTCAGCAATGTCAAGAGAACTTCCTTGACACTCACTCATATTGTGGATTTGGACGTTTTTGTTAGTCGAAAGTTGTTTCAAGTTCCAGATGTTCTTCGATTGTAGGAATACTGCCTTTCCTTTGTCACTCAGTACCTTCACATATCCTCCTTGTTTACCTATAATGTTGCCCATGTACTTAAAAGTCCTCAGTTATTACAGAGCAACTCCACCAATCGTGACTTATTTGGTGCTAACCTTTTCCCTTGTGAATGTTGAGGCCTACCATCTCAGGCGATTGCTACTTTGGCCGTCTTCGGCTACATCATTTTGCTATGTATGGGAGAAAAGAGCTAAGTTATCCATGAAATTCAAATCGTGTAGTTGCATCCAAGCTGTCCACTCTATTCTGTGCTTTACCTTCATAATACAACCACCAGAAGGAAGAGAAAGGGCGAAAGTAGGCAGCCTTGTCTGAAACCGGTCTTCACTTACAATGAATCTATGAGATGTTCTCCATGCAGGACTCTACAGTGTATTCCGTGGTAAGAGTTCTGTGTGGTAGTGACAGTCTGCTCATGTACACTATGATGTTGAAGAAGGCTTCATGATGTTCTCCTGTCCACACTATCAAGTGATTTCTCATGGTCAAGAAACTTGATGCTTAGTGATGAGTTCCACTCTGATTACTCAAAAATGATCTGGTCGGTACGCTATCGATCCTTACGTAAGCCACCCTGTTGGTCTCGTGATCGCGTTCTTAATCTCCCATTCCGTCCAACAATCCCCCCTTGAAGATAGCTTGTTACTGACTGTGTGATACCTCCATAGTTCTCATTTATGAAGATCTTTCTTTGGTATTCTGAGGAGGCATCCCTCTTTCCACTCTGTCGTTACTTCTTTCTCCCAAATCATTCTAGAGAGAGCATGGAGCATCCTTCCAGTTACTTTCAATGCCTCACCTGAAATATTGTCTGGTCCTGCTGATTTTCCTCCCTGAATTTGACTGATGGCTATTCTAGTTATGATTGTTGGTGAGGGTGACATTTATATGGAAAGTCCAGGTGCTCCTTTGAAGTTCAGTGGGTTCACTGGGGCTAGTCTATACAAAAGCCCGTCAAGATATTCTTCCACTGCTCTTGAGTTTCACTAATAGGTTAGCCTTTTTCGTTCTTGACTGGTCGCTCTGCTTTACTGTATTTCCCTGTTGTGCTCTTCGTAGTACCATACATTCGTTTCATATTTCCTTCTTTTACAGTTTTCTCCGCTGTCATTGCTCGGTCTTGCACACATTTGCTTTTTTCAGCTGTTTGTTCTCGCGTTCCTATGAACGTTCTGAACTTTTTATTGATGCATGCGTGAATCGGTCAGGTTCTGTGTAGTGTGTTCCGATGAAACCCATTTACTTTGTTTGTGGGGAAAAATGGTGTGACCTCTAACAGTTTTGTTGACAGCACATAGATTTGGAAATCGCTAACCATTTCTGCCCCTTTTCTTATTCTATATCATCCCATGATATCTTTACATTGGATGTTGTCCATCCCGACCTTAGAGCTTAAGTCTTCCATCACGATGGTCAGATCCTTCCCTGGACATTTCTCTACGATCAACTGCAGCTTCATAACTGGTCTTTATCATCTTCACTGTTATCATTAATGGTGCATAACACTGGATGACATTCATTGTAACCTCTTCTTTCTTCGTTTTGAAGGATGTTTTGATAATTCTGGATCTGTAAGATTTTCATCCTATAGGTGTTTCTAGCGTTTCGGAGATAATCGGCGCATCTCCTTGTGCGTATGGAGCATCTCATTCATTACCAAAATACAACAACACCCGAACCTAATATTTTTGTCCAGCCTTCGTCCAATGGGTTTCAGTTATTCAAAGCACAGCCAGGTTGTATCTTCTCGTTTACGCAGCTACGTGGATTGTCCTTCCGGTCCCCCGCATTGTGCTGACATTGTGTGTACCTATGTCAATTGTTACTCTGGTTATCAGAATCTCAGCTTTCACCATGAGGCGTTATAACTTGCAATTGACAATCAATCAGTCAGTAGCAACGTAGAACTTCGTACCTACGTACATCAGTTCATGTTGCCATACCACATTAGCACAGAGATGTAATTGTCACTTCGAATCCGATAGTAGTAGAGGTAGCGTTAGGAAATCTGAAGCGAGGTAGAGCAGCAGGTCCTGATATGCTTACCCCTGAGATTTTTAAGGATGGCGTTCCAGTTTTAGCAGCTAGGTTGACTGAGATCCTAGGTAGAATCTGGGAACTGGACGTAATCCCATCCGAGTGGTCCCAATCACTGATTGTCCCAATCTATAAGAAAGGACAAAATCTTCTTGTGACGATCACAGGGGAATAAGTCTAACTAATATAGTTTCTAAAATATTGGCCTCAATAATACATCGACGCTTAATGGAAGCTCGTGAAGAGGAGACTAGAGAAAATCAGGCTGGTATAGACCACTTCTTCACACTCAGACAGGTCCTGGAACACAGACACACATTTAGGCGTCCTACAATAGTTGTTTTCCTGGACCTAAAAGCGGCATTTGACTCAGTGGATCGTGAGGTTCTGTGTCAGTGTCTGTCATTGAAAGGTGTACCAAAGAAGTACATTAACCTCATACAAGCTCTCTACTCGAACATCACTGGTCGAGTGAGAGCTTATGGCGAACTGTCACCGGAATTCTTCCCTTCAAGTGGTGTCCGTCAGGGCTGTTCGCTCTCTCCATTCTTGTTTAATTTTATCATAGACACTCTCCTAGAAATAACCTTATCCTCATCTGAATTTTCAGGAGTAGACCTACCAGGTGGCTCGCGCTGATAACCTGGTGACTGACGAAATCTCTGCGCGGATGCAGAAAGCTCGATTTGCTTTTGCCAATTCACGCCGTTTATGGCGTAGGCGAGATATCCGTTTGCTGACTAAAGGACGCGTGTACTGTGCAGTAGTTCGCTCCGTCTTAATTCATGGCTGTGAAACATGGCCAGTGAGAGTACAATATGTTCGCACGTTGCTAGTATTCCATCATAGATGTCTTAGACGCATTGCTCGTATATCGTCGGACAACCGAGTAAGCAATGCTGTCGTCAGGAAACAAGTACTAGGTAAGGATGGCAAATCAATAGATGAAGTGGTGAAACTCCATCAGTTGAGGTGGTTTTCAGTCAGTCAGATGCAACGTAGAACTTTGTACGTAAGTACATCAGTTCAGGTTGTCATACCACATCAGCACAGAGACATAATTGTCAATTCAAATCCAATAGTAGAAGAGGTAGTAAAGGTATTAGAGGTAATCGGAGAGGTTAGAAGATAGTATTCAAGAATTATGATTCAGTGAGAAAAGTTTCGAAAGTGAAAACTAAAGGTGTTGAAGAGTCCAGAAGATTGAGATTTGAGAAAACACAAAGAATAAATGCACCGGCGCCATTGCAAACGGTTTCGAGCCATGTCATTCAGGGTATCTAAGCATCGATTATTATCATTTCGCGGACCCTACAACCACGTAGTCGACAACTACCGACATGGCTAAGTTCACTCGTCAGTGATTTCATGGATTTCTGAAATGTTTTGGTTTGGCTGCCCCTATCTTTATTTAAACCTACTCCTACACCACAAAACATAGCTCATCGAGGTAGTCGGTGGTTGGGCATGCGTAACACATGTTCCAACCACCTCAGCTGTTGAAGTTTCAATACTTCATCTATTGATTTTCTATCCGTACCTAGTACTCGTTTCCTAACGACAGCATTGCTTACTCGGTTGTCCGACGATAGACGAGCAATGCTTCTAAGACATCTATGATCGAATACTAGTAACCTACGAACATCTACTCTTAACGCCATGTTTCGCATCCGTACAGTAGGACGGAGCGAACTGCTGCACAGTACATTCGTCCTTTAGTCAGCAAACGGATATCTCACCTACGCCATAGGTGACGCAGGTTGGCAAAAGCCAATCGAGCTTTCTGTATCCGCGCAGAGATTTCGTCAGTCACCAGGCCATCAGCACTGATGAGACTCCCCAGATACGTGGAGCGGTCTACAAGTCCGACGAATTCACTCCCTATCACTCGTTCAGGCGCCGATGCAACCCAATCTTGAAGCAACATTTTGCATTTCAAGGGGTAGAACCGCATCCCGAACATGCTTGCATTGTTGCTTAGGGTAGTCAGAAGACTCTACACTTTGTCAGCGTCTTCACCAAATAGAACTGTGTCATCACCATATTCTAAGTCAACAAGCGAGCCACCTGGTAAATGGTCTACTCCTGAAAATTCA